AATATTTAAAAAATATTGGATAGATAGATAGATAGACAGATAGACAGATAGATAGATAGATAAAATACTTGTTTAAATATTAAAGGCAGAAGGGATAAAAAAAAACTTTTTTTGTCTCATTCATTTGGCTATACAATGTTAATGTTCATTATTATTGTCCACAAAAGCATTTATTCTTTTTTAAATGCTAATTCACAAGAAACTGGGATGATCTCCTAAAAGTCCATAGAGGACAAAGGAAAATGTTTGGATGTGTTGTGCGGCACAGCTGATCTGGATAAACCTGTATGTCCCGCTATACTGTTGCTGCGGGTTGTTTTGCATGCAGGTTTATTTGTCTTCAGTGTCAATGGCGTTTCCAGCAGATGTGGCATGGGCCACACATTTGAATGCGAGACATGAAAGAAAGAGAGAGATGAGCTTAGCAGATACATCACCGACAAACAAGCATATCTGCCTGGGGACTTTACCATCCCCAATGACCAATGTGTTACCAAGTGACACACTGCAGGCAGACATGAGGGAAGATCTCAAGTTTTCAAAGCCAGTGACATAAAATTACGCTTCGTTAGAGAAGCTTTGCATTTTCAGTAATGTAAAAATATAGGAGTTTAATTTAGGTTATGTAATAGTAGTTTACAATATTTTATTTAACCTTAAAATGTGTGCAATGCTATTTTTTTTATATGAAATATATTTAAAACAGATACTCCTCAATTAAGTAATTTCTGAGTGTCAGTAACTGTTCACATGTTTAGTTTGCTATTTTTATATATTAAAATGGAGTATGTTTTAATACCCCTGGTTTACATATTTGGGTCAAACATTTTGTTATTTTGCATGTTGTGTTTGTCTTTAAATATACAGACAATGTTTACTGTCATGTTCATATTCATATTTAGTAATAAAGAAAAACACACATACAAAATTTGTTTTCCACAATCAGGATGGAGACTTTTCATTGACTTCTGTTGTTTTTAGATTGTGCAAATCCAACCCTCATAGAAACCTTTGTGCATCTGAGATGTATATTATTATTTAGGCATTATGTAGTATGTGATTTAAGCCATTTCCTTATGTGGACCGTTGGCTGATCGCTACACTGTAGGTGATTTCAGGTTTTACTGTCTATTGGGTTTGATTTGGTCAGTGTTTCAAGTTCCACGCAAATGCACTTTACTAAAAAAAAAAACTTGCATTGTGTTGTGTAGCAATGCACTACTTGCTTTTTTCACGTTTATTCTTATTTTATTACTGCTAGACTCTACTTATAGTGTATACTCTATATCAGGGATCCTCAAATCTGGCCCACGAGATCCACTTTCCTGCAGAGTTTAGCTCTAAACCTAATCAAACACACCTGAGCATGCTAATCAATGTCTTCAGGATCATTAGAAAATCACAGGTAGCTGAGTTTGATCAGGGTTGGAGCTAAACTCTGCAGTGCATTGGCCCTCCAGGGCAAGATTTGAGGAACCCTGCTCTATATACTCTATACGCCACAGCCCTGCAGTTTATTCTACCCTAATTAAATGCACCTGATCCGGCTAATCAAGTCCTTCAGGCTTATTTGAAAACTACATAGTTATGTGTGTTGGAACTAAACTCTGCAGGGCTGCGGCCCACCAGGAACTGAGATTGATACCCCTGCTCTATTTATTCTACTCACTACAGACGCACTCTTACGCACCCTGCAGCTGTATTGTATATGAAATGTTATATATCTCATATGCTTGGCATGTTTACTCTTTTAGAACCTCCGAGGCAAAGTCCTTGTTAAGTACATCTTGGCTAATACATTTTCTGATTTGAAAGTTGGGCAGTTATTTCTGAATTAGTCTTTTCCTTCTCAATCTAATGACAGCTGTTTGCATGATTGTGGTATTGAAGTTGGTGAAGGTTTCATAGACAAACCTATCAAAACAAGTTGGCCTAATGCAGTGGTGCTCAACCTTTTTGACTCCAAGGCTCCCCCTTCTGTCAAAGACAATATTTGAATGGATATTTCTGACACTTCTGGTGTAATGACAAAGCTGCTAGTTTTCAAACTTTACTTACAGAGTGGTAATATATTAAATTTGTGATTACAGTAATATTTGTCTGGATTTTTATTTTTTTTTTACCCACTAATAACAATTTCTATTTGATTTTACAATTTGTCAATTTATATAAATTAAAAAAATGTATTTATTATAAAAATGTCATTTAATTTTTTTAATAATTTCCAATACTTTTCCAGGACTATAAATCACACTTTTAAAACGATCATAATCATCAAGGTTGCCCAAGACCATGAGAATTATGGTTATTGAATATGTCAGTTAAGAAAAAAAAAAAAGATTGTTCAAAGTTATAAAAAAAATAAAGTTTTATTAGAAAATACTATTCTCTACTTCAGAATTTCACATTTGTCATTTCAAGTAACACATTAAATGTGAGAAATTGGAGAAATGTAGCAATTTCCCTGTGAAAATGGTTTGGACACCATGTTTTCAGCATAGCTGCTTCAGCTTATTAGCCTAGCATTTCTGTAGTTTTTCTGTATTTTATCTGACTGTGAAGTAGAACACTGGGTCATCCAGTGCATCTATTTCCTTTTATGAATTCCACTGGCTCACAATTTATCTTTGCAGAGACAGACGAATTTTATACTACTTTCACACTGTACTAAATGCTACAAAGCAGACACTACAGCAGGAGGATTTGGAGTGTTTTATTGTTCTAGTCAACATCAGAGGTGCATCAAGGACATGGGAAAATAACTATCTGTAGGTTTCGCGCACAAACCACACTACAGTACTCCTGTCCTGCATGACCTCTATCACACAGAGCCTCTTCTGCCATGACAATTCACCATCAGATTACCGTGTGCACGAGCGATTATGGAGAAATCATGGGGAATCTTGTGCACAAGAAGATGAAAAGGCAAGGGACAAAACGCAAAACAGACTGCAGTTCTAGGTTCATGTTCTCACCTTGTATTTTAAAATAGCAAACATCTCAGCCCATATTGATGATTTTCTCCACTAGAACCATCTCACCAAAAAGGCTGCACACAGAAAATGAGTAAAGCGCAAACTAGACGATTCTTCACAAGAAAGGTGTATGGTTTCTCCTCTAAAATGCTTGCAAGACATCAGCAGAGATTCACTATTGAAATGCTTCCAGTTGTGACACATTAAACATGAAGAACTTAACAGTGGAAAGATGTTTTTAAAAAGGAAAAAGAACAAATCAAATGTTTACAAGTCAAAGAAATCAAAAGTCTTTTTTGCCCTGGCGATCATTTCCATGCACTTTGCATAAAGTTTAGTGACAGGACAGAAAAGCGCTTTATTGTACAGCAGTGCAACTCAAGAGTTTCTAAGGAGCAGCGATGGTATTGCGCCCATGCGAGAGGCTGCAGTACAGGCTACAGACAAAGAACGAGTTCGCTTTATTTCCACCATATCTCAGAGAGACGCAGCAGAGAACATGGCCAGGTCGACTAGCTGCCTTACAGTATCGCGCACAAACATTCATACACATGTGCAATCATATGCGAGTGCACACCTGGCCACAAGGGTCTGGCCACAGTACAAAAGCAAACCACTTGCTACATTAGATTAGAAACCAAAGCAAGTACGCTTCCTCACTCGCAAAAACACAGTCGCTTCAGGGGGACAGATATTATAGAAGGTACAAAAAAACCTCTTAAAAAACAAAACATAACACAGAAGACAGTAAATAATACAGACGCACACGCAAGCACGCTATTATGCTGCGGTTTGTTCCTGGGCTCCGTTTTCATCTATTTTTATTGTACTACCATTCTCTTTCTTTTCCTGCTCCTTCTCTTGTTCTGACTCTTTCTGGAAAATAAAAAACACACACAAAAAAAAACAACAACATTAGTTAGAAGACAACAGCTATCTGGTGTTTAAATCTTTTGTGCAGTGACTAAGAGCTAG